CCAGTCTTTGAGAATCCCATTACCAATGAGAGAATTCTTGAGCCGGTTTCCTACTCCCAGTTAAAAGATTTAGTTGAGGCAGTCCGGACTTATGGGGTGACGGCCAATTATACCACTGCCTTGCTTCGAAGGCTAACTATTAATGCTATGACACCTATGGATTGGTTTGAAGTGGCCCGCACTTGCCTTAATCACGGGCAGTTCCTTGATTTTCGGTCAATTGTTCAAGACAAGGCTCAAGCCCAATACAGACAAAATGTCTGTGACGGGCACCCGGACTGGACCGTAGATATGCTTCTCGGGCAGGGACCCTATGCTGTAGATCAAACAGGATATCCCTTTGAGGTGTATCGACAGGTGAATACTCTTTTTTACAAATCCTGGCGGGCCCTCCCAAACAAGGGAGAGATGGCCGGCAATCTAACAAAAATCATTCAGGCCCCTAATGAGCCATTTTCTGATTTTGTTGCCCGTATGCTAGAGACAGCCGAGCGGGTGTTAGGAAATCTGAAAACAGCCATGCCATTTGTACAACAAATCATTTTCAAACAAAGCACCAAGGAATGTCAGAGGGCAATTACCCCAGTAAAAACTCAAAGCCTAGAAGCTTGGTTAAGGGCCTGCAGAGAAGTGGGTGGCCCCCTGACCAATGCAGGGCTGGCGGCTGCTGTCTTGTCGGCTGCCAGGGCCGCAAAAGATAATAAAGAAAAAGGATGTTTTCGGTGTGATCAGTTGGGACATTTTAAACGGCAGTGCCCACAAAATGGTGGTCCGGTGCAAAACACGCCCAGGCCGCCAAGGACTCCAGGAGTGTGTCCTCGTTGTAAAAAGGGAAAACATTGGGCTAACGAATGCCGGTCAGTTAGAGACATCAATGGACATCCTATCCCCCAAACTATCATAAACACTAATTCAGAACAGGAGCCAAAAAACGGGGAAAAGGGCCCTCGTCCCCAGGGCCCGAGAATTTACGGGGCGTTTCAGACTCCAGCTCCCGGACAGCACCTGCAGCAACCCCCCAGCCAAAGAGAGCAACTCAGGCTCCGCAGGGTTGGACCTCTGTGCCACCTCCGGACGGGTATTAACACAGCAGATAGGAGTCCAGGTTGCGGAGACGGACATGACAGGACCCCTAGATGAAGGCACTGTAGGAATAGTTTTAGGACGCTCCTCCTCCACAATGAGGGGATTA